TCTACACTGCTGAATGAGCCCCCCGACCCGCACCCCAGCCTATTGCCCCTCTGGCTGGATTTGTAACATCCAGGGCAAAAGATGTGCCTTTCTTTTCTAGGGCCTTTCAGAGGAAACAGGGTCTCTACCAAGGAGCTCCTGAAACCTCAGCCAGGTCTCCACTCTGTGGCACCTCCTGCTCTGTCCTTGGCTGTAATATGGACTTTCTCATAGCCTTCCCTCCCCTGAGGACAGCCTCGTGTTAATTTGTTAAATCCTCGTCAAGGTCCCAGGGACCAGTGGTTTATTTTTCTGATCATGTTGGCAGAGATCATGGGGGATGGTGCTTATTTGGTCAGAATGAATGCTAATTAATAAAAGTTATTTATTTGGGTTGGAGCTCGCTGCAGCCAAAGGGTCAGGCCTGAACGACTGTTCGAAGTGTCCACAGCCCTTGAGAAATAGGATAAGCAGGCTGAGTTTATTTGTCTTCTGAAGAATTCTCAGCTAGCTCCCTCCAGGCTGTTTATACCCTTAAATTACATGGAATAAGAACAACCATGGGCCACAAGGAGAAAGGGACACTTGGATGTTTGGCAGCAAGCAGGGCTTTTAAATGTCTTTGGGTCAGAGTCAGACAAATAAATGGTAGTTGCTCCTGTCACTTTGTCATTGTGATGTCATTGGGAACAGTGTCACTTAGGTTATAAAAGACCAAAAGCCACAGCAGGCCTCCTTTTCTCAAGGTCCTGGCCCAGCCTCAGCCGAGCAGTGGTGAGGCGGGATTTGGGTTTTGTAGATTCTCTGTTTGCATGCTCCTTTGGTTTTATTGTTTGTGTTGTTTTGTTTTTTGAGACAGGGTTTCTCTGTGTAGTCCTGGCTGTCCTGGAACTTGCTCTGTAGACCAGGCTGGCCTCAAACTCAGAGATTGCCTATGTCTGCCTCCCAAGTGCTGGCATTAAAAGTGTGTTCCACTACCACCTGGCTGTTCCTTTAGTTTCATTTTTGTTGTTGTTTTTCTGTTCTGGGGTGGAACCAGGGCCCATTCATGTAAGCGCTCTACCACTGAGCTATGTCCTCAAGTCCGCTTATTTTTACTTTAGAGACCAATTCTCACTGACTTGCCCAGGCTGATCTTGAACTCAGTCTGTAGCCCAGGCTGCCTTTGAATGTGTTATCTTTCACAATTGATTTTTAATTTAATTTTTAATTTTAATTGATTTTTAACATGTTTAATTTATCACATTCGGAAAGCAGAGAGTGGTCCTGAAACCAAAGGAGACTACACATAGCTCTCACAGGATGTAGCCCACCCAGTGAGTATCAGCCAGGGAGAGGGAGCTGGGATGAGCCAGGACTTGCACACCAGCTGGTGCTCAGAGAGAATTTATTTATTTTCCAAATATCTGAAGCCAAGCTTGGAGCCCAGAGGGAACCTCTGTTCTCAGGAGGCAGAGCAGGGACCTTTGACAAGCAGGTAAAGAAGTGGCCCTCAAGCCGGGCGTTGGTGGCGCACGCCTTTAATCCCAGTACTCGGGAGGCAGAGGCAGGCGCATCTCTTTGAGGTCGAGACCAGCCTGGTCTACAAGAGCTAGTTCCAGGAAAGCCTTCAAAGCCTTCAAAGCCACAGAGAAACCCTGTCTCAAAAAACCAAAAAAAAAAAAAAAAAGTGGCCCTCACTAGAGCTGTAGGTTCAAAGGCTGTGCCTTCTGGAGGCTGCTGCCTGGGATTTTCGGTGACTGAATCCCTCGTCTTCCACCACTGTCCCAGAAAGGGCCGAAGGACAGGCAGTCACACAGAGAAGGAGGACTCATTTGTTGAGCAATGGCTGTCTCTGCTCTTGCACTAGGGACACTTAGCAGTGCACACCAACTTGAGTCCTGGAGCAAGCTACTGTCCAGGAGCCAGATACTGCTCAGGTCTGTCATGGAGGCTCTGGACAAGATGTGAGGCTAGAAGTTCATCACCATGGGCTCTGAGAGCTGGGACAGACAGTGTCACCAAGCCTGGAATCGAAGTGCCTGAGGAAAGGGACCCTAGAGGGATGGGACTATTGAACCTTTCAGTAGACATAGGTCCCAACCCAATGCACAGCCTTGAATGAGAGCCTGAGCCTCAGTTTCCCCATGTGTGAAGTGGCTCAGCACCTCACGGGAGGCCACTAAGATCACTTCTTGCCCAGGCTGATTTTTCCGGAATATGCTGCATCCAACTCTCCTGCTGTCATGACCCTGGGGTGGGGGACAATGGCTAAAGCCCCTTGGTGGTCCCTGCTGGGATCGGGGAAGGGACCTGGGCATTGAGAGTCTTTGCTGTAAGTCACCATCAGCATATCTGGCCCCCAAGTGTCATTGTTTCTTCCCCCGGCCACTCACTGAGGAAGCCTGTAGAATTGATTTTCATTCAAACACCCCCAGCTTCCATTTGCTAAGAAACTTCCAGAAAACTGTCCTTTTTTGGCTGAAATGCCTCCTGCATTGGGTGCATGCCCAAGAAACATTGCCCTAAGGAGGGCAGAAGTCAGCTCTGGGGATGGCTCATGTTCTAGAAGCTTCCATCTCTACTTTTGGGCTCTTGTTCACCACCTGACTTTCTTTCAGCACCCAGCCTTAGTTATTTTGGTTTAGGATTTCTTTCCCGTCAAGGGGTGGGGGGGCTGGGGGGTAGGGATGGAGACAGAGACATTCCCAGGCCCCAGGCACACTCATCCATCTTAGCCTTTTCTCATAAGCTCAGACAGGGGTGTGGAGTGACGAGGAAGCAGGGGGAGGGGAACAGGTGACAAGGCCGGCTTGCACCGGCTGTACTGCATTCCCTAGCCACTGCTCCCCCCACACACACATTTAGTTCATGTTTGCAAGTATTTCCCAAAGAGGGAAAGCTCTGCACATAAGCTCCTTCTCATCAGCTACTTGGGTCCCTCAGCCCTGCTGCATTTTTGAGCAGAGGATGCCTGGACATGGGCAGGGCTGGCTTGTGTGCTGGAGTACCCTGACTAGCGTCCCTAATTTACAGTTAGTCCCAGTAGCACCCCTGATAAATAAAACTGTTTGCAGGGCTAGGCTGTGGCTCAGTGGTGGAGTGCTTGCTGAGCATGAGATCCTGGTTCCATCCCCAGCATTGAAAATAAATAAATAGAAAGTGGGATTGGGGCCGGGTGTACTGGTATATCTGCATGGGTCTTTAATCCCAGCACTCAGGAGTCAGGGGCCTGAGGATCTCTGTGAATTCAAGGCCAGCTTGGGCTACAAAGCAAGTTCCAGGACAGCCAGGGATACACAGAGAAACCTTGTCTCAAAAAAATTACATTTTTATTTATTTTGTAAGTGTGTGCACAGTTGGGTGGGGCATGCATGTGCCCTGGTGACCTTGTGGAAGTCAGGGGACATTTTCCATGGGAGTCAGTTCTCACTTTCTACCATGTAGTTCTGGCAGTCAGGTTTGTCTGCAGGTGCCCTCGGCCACTGAGCTATCCTTCTGGTCTCACTTTTCATTTTCCTGTCCCCCCAACAAACACACTCGAGCCCTTGCACCCTGGCTCTCTTCTGCAGTTCTAGGAACAAAACCCAGGGCCTTCCCCACGCCTGGCAATACTCTGCCCCCAAACCACAGGATTTTCTTTGAGTATCAGAACCAGGGAGCAATGTGTCACTAAAGAAACAAAATACAAAGTATGGATTAGAATCCCAAAGATGGCCTGTCAGCAGTCTCTGATGGCTGAGCAGCAGACACCCAGGCCTCCCAAGCTGCAGTGCTGGAGAAATGAATAGGACAGACCGATAGGGGCACGAGACCACACCCAACACTCACTCACTGGCTGGAACTCCCACCTCTAGGAATCTGTATCGAATGTGCACAGCAAAAACAATGCTCCTGTTTGCGTGAGGGATTCAATGTAATGTTCTCTTAGCTTCAAAAGACTGGGAACACACCAACTATCAAGAAGACCCTGTGAACAAACTACAGCACTGTTGCATAGGGAGTGAGAACTATGCAGATGTGAAGAGAAGGAGGAAGGTTCAGTTCACAAACTGAATAAATGAGGCCAGGAAGGCGTGTTATGGGGGAGGGGCATGAAGAGTACAAACGACACTTTCCCTAGACAAGAAAGAAAATACTACACATATTTTATTTTACTTGAAAAAAAAAAATCCTACTGGAGGGGTGGGGCAAATACTAATTAAAGGGCTGGAGAGATGACTCAGCAATTAAGAGCACTGGCTGCTCTTCCAGAGGACCAGGGTTCAATTCACAGCAACCACATGGCAGCTCACAACTGTCTGTAACTTCAGTTCCAGGGAATCCGACTGAGGTGATATTTTGTTTATGATCTAATAAACCTTGCCTGAAGATCAGAATACAGAGCTAAGCCACACACCTAGTTAAGAGCTGAGCCACTAGTTAGCTGCACACACTCTAAGCCACTAGTTAGCTACACACCTAAGCCATTAGTTAGCCATAGAGGGCGGGAGACAGAGACATACATGAGAGTGAATCAGTCTAAAAGACACACAGCGCTCACACCTTTGTCCCAGTACTTGGGGTGGCATGCCTTTAATCCCAGCACTAGAGAGGAATGTAAGGCAGGAAGGAGCTCAGTGCAGTGCAGTCTGAGGTTTGGTGGAGAGCATTGTAGTCTGCAGGCACTCTGAGGACAGCATCACCCGTTTGTCTGAGCATTGGTGGAGGTGAGAACTCTCTAGTGGCTGACTGCTTTGCTTCTCTGATATTCAGCTTTAACCCCAATATCTGTCTTTGGGTATTTATTAATTGTGCTACACCCAACACCCTCACACAGATACACACTCAGGCAAAACACCAATGCATATAAAATAAATCTTTTAAAAAAGCTAATTAAAGAACTGGCCCCTGCAGGTAGAGAGAGGAACAAGAGGGGAAGCAGTCAAGTGTGCAGAACTGAGGTGGATGACTCCAGAATATTCGTAAATAAAGCAGCCTAGCACTCGTGGCATGGCAGTGTGCAGTGTTGGCCTTTAAGTCTGTATGCTGCAGTCTAAACCATGGGGCACGGGACTGGGGAAGCTGGGGCCTTTGCTCTGCTTCACACCCTCCTGTCCACTGGACACGGCACTGTGGCAAGTGATGTTTCCTGGATATTAAAGTACACATTTAGGAGCTGGGAGAGGCAGCTCAGTAAGTTCAGGTCTCTAGCATCCACGTGAAAAGCCCAGCTCCTGTAACTACAGCATAAGGTGGGGGTGTGGACAGGCAGATCCTGGGGAGCTCGCTGGCCACAAAGTCTGTCTAGCTGTAGTTCAGAGAGAGACACGGTCTCAAATAATGGGTGTCTGGATGGATGGATAAATTAATAGGTGTGTGTGATGAATGGACATAGGCAAAAGGTAGCAGGTTAGCTTAGAGGACACTTTCTAACCCTCAGGTCTGAGGCCACCTGCAGAGGGAGACACAGGACAGCCAGTGTAAGAGGAGCAGATGGCTGATACTGCAAACGTCCCCAGACAGGGTCACAGGGCGTATTGTGAGCACCGTACAGCCACTCTGCTGACCCTCCATTTTCCCTTAGGTGACTGTCCCAGTCCAGGCCGTGGCAGTGCCAACAAACGAAAGAAGAAACAGCGACGGAACAGAACCACATTCAACAGCAGCCAGCTACAGGCACTGGAGAGAGTGTTCGAGCGCACGCACTACCCTGACGCCTTTGTGCGTGAGGAGCTGGCCCGGCGTGTCAACCTCAGCGAGGCCCGTGTCCAGGTAAGTAGGACCCATCCAGGGCTCCCAGAGAGTCCTCACCCAGGCTGGAGACCACTGGTGGCCCAGTGCAGGCACTGGCTAGGGAAGACAGGGGTGAGCTCAGAGCATCTGGAGCCAGGAGAATGAAATCCAGATGGAAGCCTTGCCACAGCTAGTGACATGGAAGGAGCGAGATGTCTAACCCCGATCAGTTTCTCCCTGCAAATGAATAGATGCACCCACAGTGCAGGCTGTGTTATGGTTCAGGGAACTGGCATTTGTATAAAAATGTAGGGCAGGGGGTGGGAAGATGGCTCCTCAGGTAAAGTGCTCGCCATGGCATGAGGACCCAAGTGCATATCTCCAGCACCCATGTAAAAAGCTGAGTGAGGCCGTGTACAACTGCAACACCGGTGCTGGGAAGCTGGAGACAGGAGGATCCTGGGGGATCACTGGCAGCCAGTCTAGACCAGGCAAGCTCCAGGCTCAGTGAGAGACTCTTTCTCAATAAACAAACAAATAGAAAAGGAAAATCATGGAACAAAATAGAGATCTAATAGTGGTCACTGGCCGTGTGTGTGTGTGTGAGTGTGTGTGTCTCGGGCTGTGTGTGTGTGTGTGTGTGTGTGTGTGTGTGTGTGTGTGTGTGTGTATGTGTGTGTACATGTACATGCACACACCACATCCACACAGAGAAGAAAGCCTAGAGCAGTGCCAAGCATGAAGTTTCTCACAAGGAAATTAACTTTTTGCTGGACAGTGGTAGCACACACCTTTAATTCCAGCACTGGGAGTCAGAGGCAGTCAGATCTCTGAATTCGAAGCCAGCCTGGTCTATAGTGCGAATTCCAGGACAACCAAGGCTATACCGAGAAACCCTGTCTTGGAAAAAGAAAGAAAAGAAAAGAAACTACTAACTTTTCGGCCGTTCTTTCCCAGATCTACCCTGGGTGCCCACCTGACCTTGTTATCCCGGGACCCAAAGGCTTACCTGTTCATTGATTTTTTTTTTCATGTGTCCTACATTGTGCTGGGAGTCAAAGGTCAGAGAATGAAGCCACCAGCTCAGGGATGGGACAGCATAGTCATGTACCCAGATCCACAGGGATGCTTGCCACACCCTCTCTCTCAGGTCTGGTTCCAGAACCGCCGTGCCAAGTTTCGCCGGAATGAACGTGCCATGCTGGCTACCCGCTCTGCCTCACTGCTCAAGTCTTATGGCCAGGAGGCTGCCATTGAGCAGCCTGTGGCTCCCCGACCTACAGCGCTGAGCCCGGAATATTTGTCTTGGCCAGCATCATCCCCCTACAGGTGAGACTGAGGAGCTCTTTGGGCCAACAGGGGCAGCTGGAGCCCCTTGAGATCTTGAAGGCCACCTCTGTGAGGGAAGCTTGGATAGTGTATGATGAGTGTGTTACATGACAGTGCAGGTGGGTGTTCAAGTATGAGCATGTGTGTGTGTGTCTACACAAGCGTTGGTGTAGAAAGGGAAGAAGCCAGGCCTGTCTGGAGGAGAGCAAAGTGTGGGCTCAGCCCTGAGGTAACTAGAAGGCTGCAGGAAGTCTCAAGTCAGACCCAGCACCATGCCCACCCTCCAGGCAGGAAACAGTGAGTGCCGATGACAAGTTTCTCTGTACTGTGATCCTGGCAAGGTCCAGAGCCGTGTAGAGGAGTGGCTTTGTTGTTTAAAACAAACAAATAAAATAAACACCTTCCTTGGGCTGGAGAGATGGTTCAGAGGTTAAGAGCACTGGCTGCTCTCACAGTGGCCCTGGGTTCAGTTCCAGCACTCACGTGGCAGTTCACAGCCATCTGTAACTCCAGGTCCAGGGGATCTGACACCTTCTTTTAAATTCCACAGGGACAAGACACTTATATGGATATGGTATACTGACATGCATGTAGACAAACACTCATACACATAAATAAAAAAATAAACTAAGTCTTTAATGGCTCCCTCCAAGATGGCGGAAAGGAGAACGTGCTAGGGAGTTGGGCTGCCATATCCCACAGCCCCAGAATTTCCATCCCCTTACTTGTTCACATGTGGAGAAGGCTCTGCCGTAGCCATGAGCCTCAGGAGAGAATGTTGGGTGGGTTAGTTTGTATGGTTCCTGTATCCTTCCCTGATCCGTCCTCTTCCAGAAATGTTGGGCACAGAGCAGTGGTACGAAACAGAGCACATGTCCCCCTATCAGGAGGGCCTCAGTCCAGAAAGGAATGCCAACAAATAAAAGATGGCCTCGGCCATCCTCCTGCCTCAGCAACCCAGATGTTGGGATTGTAGCAGTGTGAGCCACTACATCTGGCCAGGGAGGCTCCTTTGACCCAGTGCTATCTCTGGATGCTTGTCCCCTCCCCCTACCATGCCACCCTGTCCAGGGCCACCCTGAGCTCATCACTCAAGGGAAGTGAGACTAACCAGATGCACCAATGGGTTCCTGTATTTCCTGTCTCCCCAGCTCTGTGCCTCCCTACAGCCCCGGAGGCTCAAGTCCTACAACCCCCGGGGTCAACATGGCCAACAGTATCGCCAGCCTGCGCCTCAAAGCCAAAGAGTTTAGCCTCCACCACAGCCAGGTGCCCACAGTGAACTGACAGTGTGCGCTGGATCCAGCCTCCTTCCTGGCCCAATGATAGACAGCACCAATGGAAGTGGCCTTGTCTGTTCCTGTCCCCAGAGACACTGGGCAGCTTCTCCTGTGCCTTCTCTTCATCCCAGCTTCCTGAGTTCCAGAGGCCTGCTGGGTACTGGAAGTGCAGTTGAACATCACTCTGTCTATGGTGGCTGAGATTGTGGCCTGAGGTCCCTGGAATGGCCTGGCCGGAAGGCGGAACAGGAGTCCGCCAAGGAACTCACTTACTTGTGTATTAAAACCAAAAAGCTTTTGTCTTTAAGGAATAAACCATGTTTCTTAAGCTCCATGAGACTTCAGAAAGGCATGGCGGGTGCTCCCAGAGGGTGCAGCACACGGCTGGCTGGGTCACAGCCCTCCTGGTGGGCAGCCATTTGAAGGTGGTGCTGGCCTGTCCTGGCTCACACAGCAGCTTCGGTGGGGCTCACTGCCTGCACACCTGTTCTTCAGGTACGGTGCTGACATCCTTCAGGGCCCCCATGTGGGAGAGGGGGCTGAAGGCAGAACCTGTACCAGGCTTCATTTCCAATCCTGAGCCCCCTGGGGACACCTAGAGGTTCTGGAGGAGTGGTTGACCAGGGCACATCTCCTTCACAGGTATGGGGGATGGGTGACCACTCCTAGAGTGTGGGAGCTGATGTTGGGATTAAATTCTTACTACAGAGCATGCAGAAGTATGGCCATGGAGGATACCCTAGTTTCCTTTCCAACTGCTGGGACAAAATAAGCTGGCAAAAAGCAGCTTAGGGGAGAAAGGATTTACATTATACTCCAGGTGACACACATAGTCAAGAGCAGAGAGAATGAATGCATATATGTTAGTGTTCAGCTCCCTCTCTATGCTTCCACAGTCAAGGACTAAGTCATCTCTCCAGCCGTTTCTTTAGAAGGTATTAGAAGGTTGGGGGTGTAGCTCTGTTGGTAGACTGCTTGCCTAGTGTGCACAAAGCCCTGGATTCCATTCCTACCACCACCTAAAAGAAGACATGGTAGTTCACACCTGTAACCCCAGCATTTGAGAAAGGTAGAAGGATCTGAAGTTCAAAGTTGGGGGCTGGAGAGATGGCTCAGCAGTTAAGAGCACTGGCTGCTCTTTTAGAGGTCCCAAGTTCAATTCCCAGCAATCACATGGTGGCTCACAGCCATCTATAATGAGATCTGGTGCCCTCTCCAGGTCTGCAGACAAACATGCTGACAGAACACAGTATACATGATAGATGACAGATAGATAGATTAAAAAATCTTTTTAAAAAGAAAAAGATTTGCCGGGCGTTGGTGGCGCACGCCTTTAATCCCAGCACTCAGGAGGCAGAGGCAGGTGGATCTCTGTGAGTTCGAGACCAGCCTGGTCTACAAGAGCTAGTTCCAGGACAGCCTCCAAAGCCACAAAGAAACTCTGTCTCAAAAAAAACAAAAAGAAAAAGATTTATTTAAAAAGAAGTTCAAGGTCCTCCTTGGCTACAGTGACTTTGGGGAGGCCTGGGTTACATGAAATGCCATCTGAAGGGGTAAGAAAAGCAGATGTTGAGCTGCAGTTCCGGGTGAAGTGAGGGTTCAGTCTGCACTCTCTCCATTACATCTTTTAGCTTTCTTCCTCTACTCCCCACTGGAATCCAGCATAGGGACCTTGCCCTGGTGGGTTCAGCATGGTCTTTGGATGTGTAGCATTCCTGGGAAAGGTGACATATAAATGTGGTGGGGCTTCTTCCTTGGCAGCGGGGACCTCGGTCATATGGGCTTGTTTGGCCGAGGCTGAAGGCAGAGAAACGGGTATTCTACTGATGCCTAAGCAGGGTCTTCAGTACACAGTGTTTGTTTCTCCCTTTATCAGCAACAGTCCAACCACAGGATGTAGAGTGGCCTAAAGCAATACTCACTTAATTGGGAGTGGATGTGGGGACAGGACCCAAAGTTCAATGCGACCCATCCTGTCTTTTTATTTTTATTTATGCACATGTGTACATGTCTGCTTGTCGGTGCCTGCGCCATGGAGCTGCAGGTGCCCATGGAGGCCAGAAGAGGCATCAGATCCCCTGGAACTGGAGTCACAGGCAGGTGCGAGCTAGCTAATGTGGGCCCTGGGAACTGGACCTGGGTCCTCTGCAAGAGCAGCAGATACTCTTAACATTGAGCCATCTCTCCATTCCATTCTACCCCCAGGCCTGCCAACAAAGAAGTGAAGGCTGGCTGGCTGCTATCGACATGGGGTCCCACTGAGTGGGGGTCTGGAAGGTGGGCCCCAGAAATGCCAGCTTTGGAAAATGCTGGAGGCTGTGTTCCCACGGATGACCATGAGGATGTCAATGTCACTTCCATTCTGGCACTCTAGAAAAAATAAACCAACCTAATAGTTTGCACATGCTCCTCCGGGAGGCCAAGGGAGGGGCACCCGCCCTCTCTGCAGTGCAGGAATTATCAAACACTCTCCTGCCCCTGCTGTGCCTGGCTGTGGGTCTATGGAACAGCTTCCTGGAGACCCATACCAGGCTGCCACAGCCCAGGGACACTTGGACTTCATTCTTCCCTGGCTTTGCCTATTTGATCAAAGGAAGAGGGGGCATTGTGTCTGCTTTTATTTCTTACAGGAGACAAAGGGGAGGGGAGAGGGAGAGAGAGAGATTGATTCTTGAAAAGACAATACCAGCAAAAAGCCAATTTGTGGCTCAGAGCCTTGAGCAAGGCCCTTCATGCCTTGTCACACCTGGTGTATGTGGTGGAACCCAGGACTTAATTCATGCCAGCTAGTTAAGTACTCTCCCAAGTGAGCCACATGTCCAGCCATTTTTACTGTGGAGGAGCAGAGTGACTCGTGGACACTGAAGAAGTCAAAATACTCCCTCTGTGGGACTGGAGAGATGGTGCAGCAGTGCTGAGGGCCTGAGTTCATTCCCAGCACCCAACTCTAGCTCCAGGGGATCTGATGCTTTCAAATGTGGCTATGTGCGCGTGCGCACACACACACACACACACACACACACACACACACACACACACAATTTTGTTGTTTGCTTTTTTGTTTCTCTGTGTGTTCCTGACTGTCCTGGAACTCACTCTGTAAACCAGGATGGCCTCACACTTAGTGATCCACCTGCTTCTGCCTCCCAGTGCTAGGATTAAAGGCATGTGCCAGCACTCCTGGCTAGAGATACATAATTTAAAAAAAGCAAACCTTTAGGGGCTGGAGGGTTTAGTACTTAAGAGCAACTGCTGCTCTTCCACAGGCCCCAAGTTCAATTCCCATTGTCTACATGGTGATTCACAACCATCTGGGACTCTAGTCCCAGGTCGAAAGCTCATTCTGTTGCTGCCTTCTGGCTTCTGTGGACATGTTTCTACATGGTGTAGGCTCCAAGGAAATGCTAAAAGAAGACTCCAGACTCAAATAGTATGGAAGAGCAAGAACATGTATTTACCCGCATATGTGGGGTCATTCACCTGTACAAAATGTCAACGACCCCAAGAGGAGTGTGCAGGCTTCTTTGTAAGCACAGCTAGAGGAATTTTAGGGACAGTTAGGTCATCTCAGACATAATTGGTTAAACAAGCAGCATTATATTAGTACACTTTTAATTGGCTGAGGTTTTATCCTTGGAGATACTTGGGTAAGTTTCAAAGGGGTTGCAGGAACTGTCCTTCAGACATTGTGGGATTAACTCAGGCCTTGTTCCTGCTGTCTCCCTGGTCCCTACGGGTCAACCAGATGGAGGCATTTTTTTTTTTTTTCAACTGAGGTTCCTCTTCCCACATGACCCTCACTTTTAGTCAAGTCGTCAAAAACAACTACCTCACAGAGACTCATTATTTTCTTCACTCAAACTTTGCAAAGTGAAGTTGTTTAAATCCGTGGCTGGTGCCAATGGCCATGGCGGCATCTCCTGGGAGAAAGAAAATAATGCCAAAGGCAGCATGTGCTTTAAGGAGGACAGTGGACCCCGAAGCCAGGATCACTGTCTTACATGACATGTGTGTTATATTTCAGATATGTGCTTAAAATTTGCAATAATTAAAAAAGGGGGGATGAAAAAACCATCATGTGGTTGGTGCTTTCCTCTGGGAGGCAAAGGTGGTCTCCCTCCTTTCCGTATACCCTTGTAAATTTCTCTCAGATGAAAATGAAAAACACTTTAAAAATATGTATCCTATCCAAATTAACGCCATCTTTTTAGAATGCTTGTAGGTACCTCAAGCTTCACAAATAGATTTTAAAAACCTGGACATGGTGACTCTTACTTGCATTAGAAATAATCCCAGTGTAGCACAAGGGAACACATACAAATAAAGCCAAAGTATCTCAGCCTAGTATTCATTTTGCAAAAAGGATGAGCCAGAACCCAAACCAGGCAGGCTACCAAAACAACCAGGCCAACATGGCTTCCTTTATCCTGGATGTAAGCACAGACTGCATCTCATCCCATTGATGGGAGCACAACCTCACAATCTGATGTGATTGGCTAATCTCTTGAGGATGAAACTGGGGAAGGAAAGATTCAGGAATGTGAGTCCTTGCTTCGCTAACTACCTTTGATTTAAAAACAATAACAAACATTTCTGGGATTAGAGAGATGGCTTCAGCGATTAAGAGTGCTGGCTGCTCTTGCAGAGGACTCGAGTTTGGTGCTTAGTACCCACATAGTGGCTCACAGTTACCTGAAACTACAGTCTTCTGACATTCGAGTCACCAGACACACCCCCTAGCACACATACATTCATACAGGCAAAACATAACACACAGAATAAATAAATCTTAAAAAAAAAAAAACCCTATCACACTTGTAATCTCCAGGTTTAGGAGGCTGGGGCAAGTGGATTGGCTAAATCTGGAGGCAAGTTTAGGCTAAAACATGAGACTATTCAGTTTTTTGTTTGTTACACGGTCTCATTGCATACATAGATCAGGTTAGCCTCAAACTTGTAGTGATCAGTCTGCCTCTGCCTCCTGATTGCTGGGATTAATGGTGTCTGCCACCATACATGGCTATTTGATCTTGAGGCCACCCTGGCCTATACTGAGTTCTAGGCTTACATAGGCAACATGGTGAGTTACTGATTACCCTGGGCTACAAGTTGAGACCAAAAGGAAATCTATGCGAGCTGATGTGGTGGCACTAGCCTGTGATTCCAGTTGGTACTTATGTGTGAAGATACCTAGGCAAACACATGCAGTGCACCCTGGGAAAATAATTACCCCAAAACCAGGCTGACTGCGTGAATGGCAAGGTGTCCAGGAAGGTAGAATGGCAAGGTGATACTAAATTTAATGTCACTGCCGCATGTTTGCAATCTCAGATCTCCGGCAAATTCATGGCCAGCCTAGTCTACAGATTGCAAGGGCCCGCAGATTGTAAAGGCACTTGTTGCCTGAGGATCTCAATTCAGTCCCTAGGCCCACAAGAGAACTGACTCTGGGGTTGTCCTCTGGCCTCCACATATGTGCCCACATATACACACAAAGAATACATACATGCAGAAAGACTTATTTTAAAAAAGATTACAGTGTGGCTACTGGCCCTTGAGTTTATATGAACTCTATCTTGGCCCTGGCCTCCTGCTCAGAGGTTAGGGCATGTCCCCAAGACACTGGGCATCAACTAGGGACAGCTCTAGCTTCCCAGGCTCCTAGAGGCCTATTAAGTCCTTGCCCAACTCCTATGTCTGGGACTCTAGGGCTCCAGGCTGCTGTTCAGGCTGCTCCACACTAGGACCTCATAAACTCAGCCACACCCTTCTCAGTCTCTGATCCTAGGGCAAGGAGAGACTGGTCCTATCTGGGTAAAGTTTTGGGAAATGGATGTTCTCAGACAAGAGACCAAACCAGAGGAAAGCAAGAGTTTCTGATGTGGTATCAGGGTTGGAGGGGTATGCAGGCACTGTGTGCTGCCTGCCACCTCTGGCTGGTTCAGGAGGTGGTACTGGCCAAGGCGCCTCCCTGGGCAGTGCACCTGCTCTGTCTTGTACTGCAGGCTGGAGCCTGTCTCGAGCCCAAATTTGCAGCCAGGAGACTACTCACTGCACTCCCTACCATGAGGATGCGAACAGAACAAGCCACTAAGCCCAGTGACACCCTGCTGGAGCCACTGTCCCCACCTCTCTCTTATTCTTGAGCATAGCTAGGATACTCGCTGCCCAAGCCACTTGGAGAGTAAGGGTCATATAACAGCCCACCCAGCCCACTTGCCTAGGTATCCACCCCACTGTGTGTTCTCCCTGACCACCCTAGGAGCCTCTTACCCCGATTTCCCTCTAACCCCAATTTCATACCATGGCACACTGGGGCTGACTTCTTCCCACCCTCACAGTTGTATTTTTTGGTTTTCTTTCATTTTTGAGACAAGGTCTCACTTTGTAGACCAGGCTGGCCTCCAACATAGATTCACTGACCTCTGTCTGGGATTAAAGGTGTGTGCTGTCACACCCAGCCCAACTGAATTTCTTTACATTTCCTGGCCAGTGTCAGCATGCTCACCTCCCCATTGGACCTCAGCCTCACTATCCCAGAGGACCCCTGGCCAGTGGTCCCAGCCTTACCCCACATGGGGCTGTTACAGTTCCTTGCCATGCTGCCTGTCCTACTGCAGTGGTCCAGTTCCACCACCCAGACCCCAGATTATGCAGTCATGGGTGATATATGTTCCTGCACCAGGCAACTGGAAGGTTCTTACTGGAACACCTGGCTCTCACAAGCCCACCTTCCCCAAGAGGGAAAACACAGAATGGACAGATGTCCACCTGTCCTGCTTAGACCTCTCTGGGCCCCATCCCTCCTGGGCCCTACCTTGCAGAGTTCTCTCCTGTCCTGGACCAGGAACTCAGGACAAGTCATCTCTCTCCTTGGAGCTTTGAATCCCTCAGCTAAAATGCTGAAATGGATAGACAGCTTAGTGGTTCAGAGAACTCAGATTCAATTCTCAGAACCCATAGTGGCTCACAACTGTCTGTAATCCAGTTCCAGGGGATCCAACACCCTCTTCTGGCCTCCATGGGCACCAGGCACACATATGATACAGACATGCCTTCACACTAAAACACCCGTATACATAATATGAAAATGCAGAAATGGTCTTTGGCCATACCACCTGAACTCACCTGATTTTTCTAAAATGTACAAATGCCTCCTTCTTAAAATTATTTTAAGTATTAAATGGGGCAGTGGGGTGGGGGTGACAGATGAAGACACATCCAGCCTAATGCTCAGCAAACAGCTGGCACTCAAAGTGTGTGGGGAGGCCATGTTTGGTTTTTGTTTTCCTCAGACGAGCACTCCAAGAACAATGGCTTCATCTCACCACCAGAGGGCAGTGTCATCCACTCCCAGTGTGCTGTGCGCTTCACAGAGCAGATCTCTGGTCCCCGTTGGGAAGAGGGGTAGGGACACTAGGCATCAGCCTTGGTTGGAGGGCAGGCAGGGCTTGGGAACCTGACTGTCCCAGCCTCTGGAGCAGCCCCTGTACTTCCAGGTGGTCTCCAGCTGTAGAGAAAAACAGCATCCTACCTACCAGGTGGCAGAGCTGCAGGGAAGGTCACCTGGCAGGACAGGATCCCAAGCCAAGCACCTTATAAGGGATCTCCTTGCTGAAGAAGGGGACTTCCCCGGAGCAGCCTGTTGTCTGTGCTAGCTTGGCCCCAGAAAGGAACCCACTGTGGTGGCGGAAGTCTATAATCCCAGCACTTAGGAGATACAGGCAGGCTGTTAGTTCATGGTTGTCCTCGGCTACATTGTAAGTTTGAGGCCAACCTGGGCTAAGTGAAACCCAGTCTCAAAAAGCAAAACATAGAAACACCAAAATCCCCAAAATTCTCAGCAGGCACCAGGCCAGCTAGGACATTATGGACATTGGAAATAGGGACCACGGGGCATTCACAGGTCACACATTACTATTTAATGACTAACCATGAACAGGTTTCAGGGGGACTCTGGAGGGAGACATACCACACCACACCATACCACACCACACCATACCACACCACACCACACACACCACACACCACCCCACACCACACATCACCACACCACACACACACACACTTTGGCATCTTCAAACATCACAGATGCTGAAGAGACCCAAAGTTTTCTTTCAGTAGTTGGTCAGATAAAGCCCACCCTGACTGATGGCCTTTGGGGAGCTCAGGCCTTGACCAGGCAGGCAGAGCTCCCTGTGAGCACTCCCCATTACAGAGCCCATACTGACTAAGGCACTTGGAACAAAGGCAGGGGTGGCAGCAGGGACATGCAGACCTGCCCACTCCCCTAACTCCACAGCCTGAGAGGGAGCTGGCCATCGATTGGCCTCTTGTGAAGACTTCCTGGGTCACACACCAGAGCTAGGTGTCTCTCCTTGGACTGCCTGGAAGTCTTCATCTTTAACCCTGGATGGAATGGTGGCTATGTTGGAGAATCCCCTGTCCTTTCAGTTGGCTGGCTGATTGGTTGGTTCATTTTTTTGTTTTTTTTGTTTTTGTTTTTGTTTTAAGGCAGGGTCTCTGTGTAGCTTTGGAGGCTGTCCTGGCACTCACTCTGTGGACCAGGCTGGCCTCAAACTCACAGAGATCTGCCTGCCTCTGTCTCCCAAGTGCTGGGATTAAAGCTGTGCACCGCCTGGGTGTCCTTTCAGTTTTAAGGGGCAAGAGGGAGTGTGAGTGGTGTTTAAGGCTTTTGTGAGGTTAAGGATGTTCTGTCAGTCTTGACAACTCATCTGTAAGTGGTTCTAATTGGGTACTTCATCCAGATCCCAAGAGGCTAAGGAACACACACCCAGGACCAGAGTCCATCCCTGTTCTAGAAGGGACACCAAGTCCCCAGGTTCAGCCTCGATGGCTTCTGTCGACAATGTAATAGCTGAAGAGGCTTCAGCCACTCATCACAGATGGTGGGCCACTTCCCAGAGGATCTGCAGAGCCATGGAGACACAGGCGAACTGGGCCAGGACATAGGCTCCAGAGCGGACTCTCGGGTTCATCTTGCCCAGGTAGGCCACCGTGTGTACCACACGGCTCGTGAGGACAACAAGGAAATGTATCCAGGCGATCAAAGGTTCAGGTCCCAGGAAGGAGTAGACGAAGCCCAGGAAGAGGAAGGGGTAGATAGTCTCCATGTCGTTGCGGTGGGCTCTGGGGAGCAGAGGGGTACAGTCAGCAGGCTTAGTGCTGGGGCTCCCAACCTACCAGTCTGGGACTGCCAGACACCCCAATCCCTTGCTGGCCAATAAACTAGATGCTGCAGGGCCAAAGGGAACAGTGACTGAGCTTTAATCCAGAAGTGGCTGAGACTCAAAGCCCTGTTAACAGCACATGACCAGGGAGGCCACCGCTGGTTCAGGGCTTTCTCAACATACCACAGGGATTGTATGGACCCAGTCCTTGCCCCCTTCCCCAGGCTGTCCTTCAGATATCAGGCAGAAAAGGGAGGACTCAGAGGATAGGGTTGGGATCAGAGGTGAGTGCCAGGTGTTCCTCTTGTCAGGACTGAGACCCACCTGCCCTCTGAATGCAGGTTTGGGGCCCTGTCCCGTGCTGTCTCTGTCCCTCTCCACCCCAAAAGCTGACTAAGCATCATCTTTGCAGGACTAAGCATAGAATTCTTCCATTCACCAGCCCAGTAAAGCACAGGTACTGGCCATCCTTCCCTTCCTTCAGGCTTGCTATCCGGTTCTTTTGTAAGCATGCTTGGTGGGAAGACTGCAGACAAGCCTACCATAAATAATGACCAAGGAAGAAAACTCTCACCAGCTGTCACTCAGTGTCCATGACCCCTTTTGGATTGTTGCCTCACTCTAAAATGAACCAGGCAGTCAAACCCCATCAACTAGGGACAGTGACTGCCCAGAGCTATCGATGACCACTTAGATAAACACAAACCCAGTGACCGATCCATGACCTTCCCCAAGACAGGCCCCATCACTCAGTCCGGGGAATCTAACTTCCAGCTGCAGTCCATCTGGCCAGCAGCACCAGGCCACTGGCCAGCCCAGCCTGGCCCCAGCACTTGTGTGGCGAACCACTTCAGAGGCCTTGTCTTGTTTCCCACTGGAAAATTAGTCTTAGCAAGAGCCACTAGCTGTTTACTGAGTGAAAGAAAGCAGGCAGAGCCTGATAGAGAGAGGCCTAGAGCACACAGCACCCCAATGCTGCAGGGCACTGGGGCAGTACTCAGGAGTAGAGATATGTGTTATAGCCTAAATGACGAGAAGAAGCTGGCCAGGCAGATGAAGAACCTTCTTGGCAAGTACCCTGATGGGGGATGTCCTTCTGTATATATGATTCTCTAATTGGCTGATGAATAAAACACCGTTTGGCCAATAGAGGCAGGAAGACAGATAGGCGGTACTAGGAGGCGAAGAGAATTATGGGAAAGGTAGGCAGAGAGAGAACACGAGGAGATGCCATGTAGCCACCAAAATCCAGCAACAGTACCCGGCATATGCAAAGTCCCTGAGGTAAGAACCGCACAAAGTTCAAAAATTGACCTGTTTTCTGGAGAAAAGTACACAAGAGGGAAGTAAGGGAGACGGGTAAGAAGGAGGCCTGATAACATAGGAGGAAATGAAATCCGGCCAAGGCATAAAAGTTCCTGAGGGGAAATAAAGCTTAGCAGGTGGAGTTCTTATCCCCAGCTCTGCTTAAAACAGGGTGTGGTGGAAAAATAAAGAGTTCGAGGTCAGGGCCTGGAGAGATGGCTCAGAGTGAAGAGTACTAGGTGCTCTTGTAGAGGAATCAGGTTCAGTTCCCAGCCCCCATAGAATGGGTCACAACCATCTGTAACTCCAGTTCCAGGGGATCTGATGCCCTTCTCTGGCCTCTGAAGGTACCAGGCACACATGCATACATGCAAGTAAGCACACGTCACATATAACATAAAAATAAGTAAATCTTGGTCATACTTTGCTAGTGAGTGAGTTGAGGCAGGACTGGGATGCAAATAAGACTTCCCCTCCCTCCCTCCCTCCCTCCTTCCTTCTTTCCTTAGCCAGTAGTGGTGGGGCACTCCTTTGATTCCAGCACAGAGACAGACAGATCTCTGAGTTCAAGGCCAGCCTGGTCTACAGAGTGAGTTCAGGGACAGCCAGGACTACACAGAGAAACCCTGTTGCAGAATATTTGTACACTGTGAAGATGTGTCTTTGCCAAGGTGTCTTCTGATTGATTAGTTTAATAAAGAGCTGAATAGCCAATAGCTAGGCAAGAGGTATAGGCAGGACTTCTGGGGAGAGAAAAGAAAAGGAGGAGAAATCTAGGCACAAAGGAGAAGGGAGGAACCAGCACAGAGAACAAACAGGAAATACAAGACGGAAGAGAGGTGATGGCACCTGATAGGACATAGATTAATATAAATGGGCTACTTTAAGTTTTTCATAATTAATTAGAAGCCTTGTGTCATTATTTGGGAGCTGGCTGGTGATACAGAAAAAAAAACTCATTACAAAACCCTGTCTCAAAAAAAAACAAAAACAAACAAACAAACCAAAGCAAAACCCAAATCAAAAGGCTTGGTGGTTAAGATGGATTGCTGCACAATGAGGATCAGAGTTCTCCTCTGGCCTCGACACACCCTCTCTCTCTCTCTTTCTCTCTCTCTCACTCTCACCAAGGCCTTGAACATGTTATACCCCTACCGCCCCCACACACACACTCCTTACCACACACACACACACACACACACACACACACACACACACACACTCCACACCACACCACTCCCTTTCTTCCACTAGGGCCTGGAACTTAAGTTCAAGGTTATCTTCATCTACATAGAGTTAGAGGTCAGCGTGGACTACTTGGGACTCTATCTCAAAAACAAAACAAAATAAAGCCATATTGAGAACAAATGTGACCAAACCTGACGAGCAGGAAGGGAAGGTTGGGACACAGGGATGGGAGGAGTAGTCCCTGGTCTGTGGCAGGCCCCTGGTTGGTGAGGTGGGCCTAGTAAAGAATACACACTTCCTGAATTCCCCACCAGGCAGCAAAGGGGTGGCCCACGTGGGGAGAGGTGGCTGGAAGCAGATGGAGCTCCGACCCAGTGCCTACCTCCCTCATCTGTTTGAAACCACAATGGGGCCCCACAAAGCCACAGTGGTGCTGGGGGCAGGGAGAAATGGGGAAATCAGGATGTTGAAAAAAATAAAATAAATAAATAAATAAAACTCACGTCTCCTCCCCTGCTATAGTATCCAAACAGAGACATGGAGGGAGTCACGTACTGGCACAGGGAGAAATGTGTCACTCCAATAATAGCCAGTATTCTGAGGCAAACGTCACCCAAAGCCAGTTCCCACCAGATGAGACTTGCATAGCCCCCTGTAGCATTGAGCCTGCCCCACTCCCTCCACACAGGCTGGAACAAAGCTGTTTTACTGCAGCAAAAGACTGCAGTGGGGAGAGAGATCTCTGGTGACCCCCGGGTCAAGGCAGTGACAGCAGCTGGCGGCAACATGTTCCCTCTCCAGCTCACCACCAGCTCACCACCCACACATGGTGCATGGATGACTGCTTGGTGCCAAAGGGGGATGTGCGGAGAGGATCAGTAAGGGTGGGGCTGAGGCTTTGTCTCCTGCTATCTCTCCTCAGTGTTGGGGTGTCATGGGTGTTGGTACCTAGAAAATAAGGAAAGCAGATAGAAGGGCCACCATGGCCACCCCAAATCACCAGTTCTGGCGTGGGCACAGCTGTGAGTTGCTCCTCAGTCTCCTTTAGCTGACAACCTGCCACAGGCCCTCTCTGACCCTAGTGAGAAATGAGGGTTCCACCAGAGGCCACCATGGAGCTGAGGCCACAGGCAGGTGTCCTCTCCTCTCTGAGCCCATGTCCACTATTGATAAATGGACAGGCAGGATGTCATTTTCAGAACATAGGAAGTTTGCACCTGGGGGCCAAATCTCTTGGCAAACTGCTTTCCTCGGGCTAAAAGCCTAAGAGGAAGCTTGGGTCAGGTGTTCCTGCTGGGGCAACAGTCCATGGAAATTCACATTCACATTTACATCTGCAAGCACAGGCAGGTGTCCTGGGACTAGAACGTGGCTGGTACTTATCCAGTAAGGCTGTGACTTGAACTGACTGGGGCAGGAGGGAATGAAGGAAAGAACAGACACACATACAGAAAAGCTGGGGTCATTGGGCCACTCGCTCTCTACCAGGTTTTTAGTATGTACAGAATTGGGGCGCGGGGGCAGGAGGTCTGTGTGGGAAAGCTGTCTTAAGCTGGAAACATTCTGCAGGAGGCTGCAGTTGCTAGTTGTTTTGTTGTTGTTGTTGTTGTTTGTTTTGTTTTTTTTCCCAAGACAGGGTTTCTCTGTGGCCTTGGAGGCTGTCCTGGACCCAGCTCCTGTAGACCAGGCTGGTCTCGAACTCACAGAGATCCGCCTGCCTCTGCCTCCCGAGTGCTGGGATTAAAGGCGTGCGTCACCAACACCCGGCCTCAGTTACTAGTTTTTATTCATCCTGTCAATGTTCACACTGGGACCAGAAGAAGGTTTTGCCATCGCTGACCTCACCTAGGGAAGGCTTTGCTATCCCTGAACCTTACGTGAGGAATATTTTGCCATCTCTGTGAGTCTGAGGCTTTAGTCTTTAGCATGGCTACACCCATGTCAGCAACACACACTCCCTCAGGACTTCATCTGCTGCTTACACATTCTGGGCCTCCTTTGCTCCCCAGGACTAGCCTCCTTCCTGTTTCATATAGTCTCTGATGTTACATTGAGCAGCTAAGTAAGGCTGGCTTTGAACTCCTAATCCTGCCACCTCCACCTGCTCAGTGCTAGAATTCCAGGTGAGGCCACTACGGATGGCCTCAGTTCCATTCTTCTTCTTTTTTTAATGTTAAAAAAAAAAAATTCCGTCTCTTGTGAGTTCGAGACCAGCCTGGTCTACAGAGCTAGTTCCAGGACAGCTAGGGCTGTTTACACAGAGAAACCCTGTCTTGGAAAAAAAAAAAAAATTCTTGGCTGAGTGTAGTGATGTATGCATGCCTTTAATCCCGGTACTCAGAAGGCAGAGGCAGGCATATCTCTGAGTTTGAAGCCATCCTGGTCTACATAATGAGTTCCAGTACAGCCAGAGCTGTATAGTGAGAACCTATCTCGAAAAAACAAAAAGAAAAAAGTTAAAGTTATCTATTTTATTTTCTACATAAGTACTTTTACCTACATGTATGCATGTGTGTCTAATGCTTGAGGAGATCAGAAAAGGGTACATGTGGGTGCTGGGAATCAAACCTGAGTCCTCTGCAAGAGCAGCAAGTGCTCTTAAGCACTGGACACTCTCTCCAGTCACCCGGGTTCCATTCTTTAAACCTGGTCCCTGATGGCCCCCAAAATCCACCTGGCTTGTCTCAAGCATGTGCTAATCTGCAAGGCAGATTTATGACCCATGCTTCCTGGTACACAGTAGTGTGGCCCAGGGGACACCTGCCATGGTTCTAATATTAAACTGTTCTGTCTCTCACTCTTCAGCCAGTTCCTAGTGGTGGGCAGCTGGTGTGATTCTTGGTTCTGCACCTTCAGCTGACACTTTCTTTTTTGTGACAGGGTCTCACTGCACAGCTCTGGTTGGCTTGAATCACTGTGTAGATCACACTGAACTCAAATTCACAGACATCTTCCTGCCTCTGCTTCCCACCTCCTGGGATTAAAGAGTGACTGGGGTTCATTCCTTCCTTCCTTCCTTCCTTATTTCCTTCCTTCCTTCCTTCCTTCCTTCCTTCCTTCCTTCCTTCCGTAGGATAGAGTCTCATGTAGTCCAGGCTAGCCTCCAACTCTATTTTACGTAAGTACTCTACCACCCTGGGCTTCACCTCCAACCCTCAACTGTCTGTGAAGTTCTGTGGAGTCAGGAGGCTTCCAGATACCCAGGTGTTGAGCCCCCCCAACCCAAGTACCTAGTGAATTCTGAATGAATGTCACCAAGTGGCTCCACAGCATTATTACATAGGAATGTTTAGAAAATACTAGACTGAATATCAACCACTTAAGCTTCAGTACTAGAGAGGACATGAAATAAAAGCCAACTGGAGAGATGGCTCAGGGGTTAGGAACATTATTTCTCTTGAGAGGACCACTAGGATCAGTTCCCAGCACCCTTATGGAGGCTTACAACTATCTGTAACTCCAGTTCCAAGGGATCCAATAGGCACATATGTAGTACAGATACCGGCATGCAGAGAAAACATTCATATACATAAAATAAAAATAAAATAAAAATAAATTTAAAAATATTTAAAAAGAAGAAGGAAAATCCTACTGGGTAGGTGGGAATTCCAGGGTCCCTTATACTTCTTTTGTCCTCCATGAATAAGGTTAAGCCTTTAGGAGACAACAAAACACCACCCCTGGCTGGGATGGCTGCCGGGGCCACTTAGCCTTTCCCTCTCAGTAGCTCAGAATGGCCTAGACAACCAAGAGTCACCAATAGGGAAGGGGTCATGGTTGTGCAAGGCCATTTGTTCATGACACCAGCCAGTGCCTGCCACATAGTAGGTGCTCATTAAACAGATTAGCCGGTATTTCATTCTGTTGGAAAGGGCAGAGTGGCCTGGAGTCTCACTTCCTATGACACATTGTTGTCATTTTTTTAAAACCACAAGTGTGTACATTACTGTCAAAGGCTAAGAAAAACATGAGGAACCCCTCCCCAATCTTTGTTTGCAGAGGGGAATTCTGTTATGGAAGTGACACGGTCCCACCCATCTCTGCTTGTGACGTAAGGGGATATGTTGGGAGCTGTGTTCGGCGGTTTGTTTCATGTCTCACCAGTTCCAGCTGCCATCTTCCTTGTCCCCATCACCCCAGTGCCCCCTCCTCATTCTGGATGACTGGTGAGACAGGAAAGAAATGTTCCCAAACTCCAATACTGAGCTGGCTGCTAAAAATCAACTTTTAGTTTCCAGAAGATGTTTACACATCAAGACATTTTTGTTTGCTTTTTTTTTTTTTTCCTTGCCTCTCTGTGTAGCCCTGACTGCCCTGGAACTTGCTCTGTAGACCAGGCTGACCTTGAACTTAGAGATCTTCCTGCCTCTGCTTCCCAAGTGCTAGGATTAATAGCATGTGCCACCACCACCCAGATGGTTTTGCTTTTTGAGACTGGGCTTTACCCATACCAGCCTAGAACCCAAGGCAATTCTCCTGTCTCAGACTCTAAGACATTGGCCTCATGGGTGTGCACCACTATACCTAACCTTAAGATTCACTTTAAAAGTAACTTTTACGATGGGAAGTGGTGAGGCACGCCTTTAGTCCCAGCACTCGGGAGGCAGAGGCAGGCGGATCTCTGTGAGTTGGAGACCAGCCTGGTCTACAAGAGCTAGTTCCAGGACAGCCTCCAAAGCCACAGAGAAACCCCCCCCAAAAAAAAAGATTAACTTTTACATTAAGAGAGGAGAGAGAGAGACAGAGACAGAGACAGAGAGAGAGAGAGACAGAGAGAGACAGAGAGAGAGAAAGAGAGTGCGCACATGCACTGAGACAAGTGGAAATCGGAGATCCACTTGTAGGGACAATTCCCTACTAGGAGAGGCTGGTCTTGAACCCCTGACACTCCTGCCTGTACCTCCCAAATGCAGTGCTCACAAGTGTGAGCCATTATATCCCACTTGTATTTTATTTTCTGTTTGCTTGCTTCAAATGGTCTCACTCTGACGTTGGTCTGGAACTCTGGTTGAGCTTCCTGCTTCCCAAGTGTTGGTATCTGAGACATACACCATCAACCTTGAACTAACTCTAATTCTGGATTGCGAGAATTTTCTTTTCCAAGACAAATGTAATGAGCAAACTATAATTGTCTGAGAGGAAATCCAGCCCATGGACACCCTAGACACACAGGTGACTCTCAAGTCCCCAGTTCAGAAACTCAGTAAGGACAGGTAGCAGCCAGGTCTGTGGCCACGTCCTAGACACTGGCAGGTACTCACCTGAGGCAGCGCTCCACGTTGGGATCACTCCTGTAGTACTGGAGGCCTCCATGTCTCAGGGCGTCCTCGGGGTTGGCAAAAGCCTGAAATACATTGGCTGAGGGTCACCATCCCTTAGGAGGTCCTAAGACAGAGATCGGGGCTAGGCAACAGACTATTCAACCTGCTCCCCTGAACCTCTTCTCTGAGCTATGCACCGGAGCTCAAGGTGGCCAAAGTGCCCCCCTGCCTGTCTCTTGGGTTCAAACATTAAGAGAGATGATTAGACTGGGCAAGTGTGACTAGCTAGCCAGCCTAGTGAACTCAGGAGGGGATTAGGGTATGTATCCACGGTCCTGTGTTTACCTAGCATGCATGAGTCCCTAGGTTCTAGTCTAAGAACCTCAAAAAAGTAAATTAAAGTAAGTTATTTAGCCGAGTATGTGGCACACACCTTTAATTCCAGCACTCTGGAGACAGAGGTACGCAGATCTCTGTGAGTTCAAGGGTAGCCTGGTCTAAGTAGTAAGAACCTGTCTCAGAAGTAATGCCCTGTCTCAAAAGACTAAAAACAAACAAGCTAAGTAGAAGCCATTAGAGGCACTCAAGAGGCTGGTCAGACACTCAACCCCCTCTCTGACCACCAGGGTCTACAGCTTCCTGCTGCCTGAATCTTTCATCTGATGAAATGGAGCACCTGGGCCTCTGTGGAAGAGCAGGGACAGCCTGGGGAGGGTGCTGGCAGACTGTCAGTTTCCATCCCCCCTCCTGAAAGAGAGTAGTAGAAGTCATACTTTTGCCTTTGGGGGCCTAGGCTCATGACTCACTCACAGCTACTCCCTGCTGCAGCCCAGGAAAAACTACCCCCATTCAATCAGGTGATGCCTGAGTCAACCTTTCTATCCTGTGAGGTGAACAAGGGGCTTCACACTGGTCTGTTCCTGGAGCCCCAGTTGGGCCTGCTCCTGCCCTGCCCTGAGGAAAATGTAAAAATGACAGAATAAGGCCAGGAATTCCCATCCAAAATTCCTCCCTGCTGGCTCCCAGGTTCCCAACTCTGAGGGCCCAGCTTTGACACCAATAGAGTCCCTGTAGTCAGATATCATGGAGCCACTTCTAGTAGGCCAAGGGCCATTCAGCATGCACACCCAGGAAGGACTTGTGGCTACTGCTGTTCACTTTAGATTCCAGTAGGAAGCAGTATTTTGGGGGGGGGGGCAGGGGGGGGCGGGTTCCAGACAGGGTTTCTCTGTAGCTTTGGAGCCTGTTCTGGAATGCTCTCTGTACACCAGGCTGGCCTCGAACTCACAGAGATCCGCTTGCCTCTGCCTCCAGAGTGCTGGGAGTAAAGGTGTGGGTCACCACAGCCCAGCTGGAAGCTGTCTTAAGGACCAGAGTGGGTGAAATGTTGGTCATTCAAGTCTCCAGGTTTACAGATGGGGACACTGAACTCTTCAATTGCTCAGGTCCGCCGGTCGGTGGGAGAGAAGATGGTGAGCCTGTGCCCATCCCCTAGGCAGAAGGTGACCCACTGGTACCTCTTGGCAGAAAGAGGTGCCCAGGAACCCCAGGGCCCAAAGCAGGGAGGCCTCCCTCAGTCCCTGAGTGCTGGGAATGGAGACCAGGAGGAAGTGAGGCTCAGGTGCCCAGGAACCCCAGGGCCCAAAGCAGGGAGGCCTCCCTCAGTCCCGGAGTCCCGAGAATGGAGACCAGGAGGAAGTGAGGCTAAGAAGCCAGACATTAAGCTCCAAAGGGGATGACAGTAAAAACCGAGGGAACCTAACTCTTACTGCCTTCCCCAGGCTCCCAGGTAATTTAGTGCTCAGCTTTGGGCCCCTGCAGAGGGGACAAGGACAGAATATAGCTATCTCTGCCTGGCATCTGTGTCCTACATCCTAGGGCAGACCAAACGGGAATCAGAGGCAGCCAGTAAGTGGTTGCCTTGCCTTTATTCCTGCAAATACCTGTCCTAGGGGCTGAACCTTGCTGGAAGGCAAGAGTCCCACTTGGGGACCCCACCCGCACTCCGTCCCCCCTCGCCTTTGGACTGGACAAAGGCTGGTTTTGAAAAATTGCCTGTAAGCAACAGATACTTCATGTGGGTCTGTTTTGCAGCAGCTTCCAGGGTTCCATCCAATGCGGAGGAATAGGTAGGGAAGTCCTGGCCACTCCCACCGGCTCGTGTGGGCTCTTTTACTGCTGTTTCCTTGCCAAGACTGGGATCACAGAGTGTCGTCTGTGACCCCTTTGGCTAGGACCAAACTTCGGAGGCTGCTGTGAGTCTCCACGGGAGTGGGAATTTCCACGGAAAGACTTCTCGGGCTCCTGCTTTGCCGGTTTCCACTCCACCCAGATATGAAATCTCCCAGCCTGCTGGGAAACCGCCAGGTCAGGAGACCTCGCTGTCAGAGCCTATGTGCTCCACGTGCCTGTCCTGGTGCAGTCACTTCACCTGGCGAACCCCAGGTGCTCTCATACTAGCGGGTTCAGGAGCTGGAGCCCACCCCAGCTTTTAAGCAACTTTGTCTGCACGCGGGCAGGCACACCTCGGCCACATTATTCAGTGCCCAGACTTTATTGCAGAGAAAAACTAGCAGAGTGCTAATTCCCCCCGTCACACACACCCCAGCTCACGTACCTTCTTCCGAAGCCTGGTGTAGCCTGTGATGACCCCCACCACGTACATCTTGATGACTAGCAGTGTGCTACAGAGCAGGAAAGCCGGGAGCACCTGGCCGTTCTCCATCACCAGACCCATGGAAGGCGTCTTAGCTAGATGGCCTGAGATCCAGCTCCGGACACGGTGACTGAGGGTGAGACTGTCCCAAAGGCTGCCTGTGGAGAGGAGGAGGAGGAGGAGCCGGCCAAACCCTGAATAGGCGGACTTCAGTCGCTCCCGCCCACTCCCCGCCCACCCTGATCAACCCACAGCAGGCCCCCTGCTGCAGTGAAGGAAAAGGAGTTCTGCTCCAAGTGCTGGAAGAAACAGAGGAATGAAGTTATCCCCATCCTTGGCTCTGGACCATTGTTCCCTGGCAAAGCCTCAGACTTCCTAATCTGTTTCTCATCGTAACTCCAGGTCACCGACCTCGGTCTGCAGAACTTATCACTAACCCATGCCTACCTTCCAAAGGGGGAAGGCAGGTAGAGGGCATGAGAATCAGGCCATCTGTACTAACACACTGTCTCTGTGATGCTGGACACTCAGTCACAAAGGCCGGCTGCAAGCTAAAAGATGAGACTGGTCCTTCTGCCATCCCCTAGCAGGAACACAGACCTCCGGGTCCCAGTTTAGATTGTGTGTGTGTGTTGGGGGGGGGTGTTCATTTGTGTGTGTACATGTGCACAGGGGTGAGGGTGGGCACACTGTGCACTCGCATAGCTGATATCACCTGACTGACTTTCTCACAGGGGTGAGGGTGTACTGTGCACCCGCATAGCTGATGTCACCTGACTTTCTCAGTTGCCAACCTTATATTTTTTTAGTTTCTTTTAAAATCACATTTATTTATTAATTGTGTGTGTGCCACAGTACCTGTGTGATAGTCAGAGGACAACCGTGCTAGAGTTGGTTCTGTTCTGCCTTATGAGTCCCATTGATAGAATTCTGGTCTTGTTGGCCCTAGCTGGTCTTAAACTCACAGAGATCCTACCTCCAGAGTCTCTACCTCCAGAGTGCTGGGATTAAAGGTGGGTACCACCACACCTCGCCCCAAGTTACTTTTTGAGGCATGGTGGCTCACGGGCTTTATCCTTCTGCTAGAACAGCAGGCCAGCGAACTCCAGGCAACCACCTGTCTCAGTGGCCAGCAAATTACTGGATTTTTACATGGGTTCCGGAATCAGATCCTAAGACTTTCTACTCTACCAACTGAGCCACCTACCTCCCCTTGGCCCTCTCTGTATCTATCATTCCCATCCCTCATCTCTTCTCTTTTCTGACAGCATCTAAAAAGTTGGGCTCAAACTCACTACTTAGCTAAGTGCGGTCTTAAATTCCCTACTCTTCAGCCGGGCGTTGGTGGCGCATGCCTTTAATCCCAGCACTCGGGGGGGCGGGGGCG